GATGAGTACCCGCAAGGACATGGGGGGAGGCCTGGCCTCACACCTGACACAGTGGGGGCTGGAGGCCTGAGATGAGACAGGGAGCAACAGAGGCAAAGCATGACCGCTGCCTTCTGCTGGCCTTTGTCTCCTCCTGGGCAGCTCAGCAGTCTCTCTCACTAGGCAAGAGTGCCTCCAGCTTCTCGGGCCCTCTCCTCGGGGAAGAAACTGTCGAATCTATGTCTCCTTTCCCAGACACCTTCAATGACTCCCCATGGCCTACAGAACAAAGCCAAGTGCCTGGGCTTGGCATTCAATGCTCCAGTTGGAGCTCATCGACCCTCTACCCTACTTCAGGCCACTGAAACTAGGTCCTTTCCACCCCTCTGCGTTCCAACTTTGCTGCCAGGCACCTTTGTTCCCACGGGGCAGGCCCTGGTCTCATTGTGAAACCCTGCTCATCCTTAAAGATTCACTTGTTGCTACCTCCTCCAAGAAGCCTTCCCTGATCCCGTCAGCCACAACTCACCTCTTCCCTTTGCCAGTGCCTCAAACAACACTTAACAATTGGTAGCATTTTTCTCTCTCATGAGGGTTATGAGCTCTTTGAGACCATGCCTCATTGTTAATTTTAATATTAGAATAAAACTAATACTAATTCTTGATAATTACTTGGTGAGTATTTATTACTTGCCAGGTGTCATCTTCCCATGAGGACTGTAGCAGATCACCCCATTTTCCAGATAAGCACCCTGAGGCCCACAGCGGGCAAGCACTTGCTCCAAGCCTGCGGGCTGGAATGTCAGAATGGGAGGGGGACTCTTGCTCTGAGCTCTAGGCTTGGCTGCTTCTCTCCTGGGAGTGGATGCGTGGCTCAGAGTCCCCTAAGGGGGGCTGGTCTGGGAGACAGTCAAATGAAAAGTCCTTGGGAACTTCTAGAACCCCTATAGGTAGGAGTCAGAGACCCAGAGGCTGGCTTCTTGCCTGGCCTCATGGGTGTGTAACCATGACAAGCAGGCTGGGCAAAGCCCCTGGGCACAGGCTCTGGCACGGCCAGGCAGGATGGAGCTGCCTCCCACCAAAGTTTAACAGGTGTGCTTGTCCAGCTGAGGAATATGCACTGGGGTGACCCTCTGTTCCCCTGTGGGCAGGAAGAGAAAGCTCGCAGGGACCCCAGCTGTGCAGGGTCCTGTGGGCTGGACACACAGGTTGCCAGGTCCTGCTAAGAGCCCTGCCCTCGGGGGGACTAGCCTGAAACCCGAGTCCTGGAGCAGCTCCTGGCAGGGCCTCCTTTAGGGTTGAGGGTGCTGGGTGTTGTTCTAATTTATGGGGCCACCTGATCTGGCCTGATTCCTCCCACCACCACTCTCTCAAGTCCTGCTCTGGCCAAGCTCGGCCTCATGCCCTTGACCTTCCACTGGCCTTTCCAATGGTGCCCGTCCCTTGAAGCTGGGGGTGGGGAGCTCAGCCCAGTGAAGGGCTGTTGACACGCATCACTGATCACACCCCCTTCATTCATTCACTCAGTCAGGGAGCTGCCCATCAACCCGTGGGCTGGAGATGGTGGGGACAAGGAGGGCGGGGAGCTGGTGAGGACGTGCCTATGTATCCCCGAAGGCAGCCAGCAGAGCCGCCAGGGGCCTGGGCTCTGTACCCCTCATGTACCAGCTGTGTCAGCTTGGACAAACATCCCTTCCCTCAGCTTCCCCACACATAGAGAGAGGCCAATAGCAGCGCCTGGCTCCTCGGGTTGCGTGAATGACCTGTGCTGTTCTGGGTTCCCCAGGATTTCACTGTGGATGTGTGGGAACTCCAGGCCTGCTCCCCAGATTCTGCCAGAGAGTAATGGGCAATGCCCTGCTGGGAAAATGGCCCGTCAGCCTCTGCCTTGGGGTATCTTGGGGAGGGAGGAGAAGATCACCCCCACTTCCCACCTCATGGCTCATCATGTGATCAAATGTAACCAGGACACTCTTCTGCAGAGTCCAGAGAGTCCTTAATCCCACCCTGTATGCCCGACGCTCCTGCAGAGCTCAGGTTTCAGGTCCTGACCATGCTGCCCAGGGAGCAGCAGTGGGCACCCGCCTCATGGACAGCTCTGATCCCCTGGACAGAGACATATCCAAGGGAGGGGGAGGGAAGCTGCCTCCACAGCCTGGTTGGTGGGTCAGTGGGAGAGCCAGGCAGAGCAAGATCACCCCATGACGTTAGCCCCAGGCTCCCTCTCTCATCCCTGCAGTCTCTGGGAGTGACTCTGGTTCTAGTGCAGGGGAAACATGACTGAGGTGAGAGGAAGTGAAACCACCTTGGATGGCACCCACCCTGCGCCTCTCTTTGATGACAAACCAGAATCAGATGGGGGCCTAGGCCAGACCCAGTGAGGAAGTGGCACAGCCCAGGACCACAGGGGCGTGTGGGGCCACGCCTAAGATAAGTATGTTCTAGAGCAGAAGAAGGAAACAGCGAGTATTTTTTAATAGCTATCGCCAAGTAGATCTCTAGGCAAAAACCTACCTTCCCTCTCTCTGGGCATCTGCTCCCAGATGACCAGCTCTCAGGGGGCGGGGCTGGCTCAGGGCTAGTCTGGCTGGGAGGAGCTGGGTGGGCCACAGGGCCTGCTGAGGAAGGGGGCAGGGGAGACCCCCGCTGTGTGCAGCTCAGGAAAGGGGGGTCCAGAGCCCTTGGGAAAGGCAGGTGGGTGTTCACTCATCTTTGTGACTCAGGAGGGGAGCCAAGACACCACTCCCTAACTGGGCCAGGACCCTCTAGGCTCATCCTTGGTGTCTCCTAGAGAGCTTGGAGGCAGGACCTGGGTGGGTGGGGAAGGACGCAGGGTGGCCGCCAGGGGCGGCTAGGGGACAGAAGCCTCATGCTGCTAAACACCCTCCAATGCACAGTGCAGCCCCCCACCATAAAGACTGATCTGGCCCCAAGTGCTCTTGACCTTCGGGGTTCTGGCCACCCGGGCTGCTGAGCACTGGGAATCAGACCGTGCACATTGAGGTGTGCTGTGAATCTAAAATACACAAGTTTCGAGACTCGGTATGAAAAGGAGATGTAAACTATTTCATCTCGTTGATACTTTTTGAATCGATTACCTGTTGAAATGCTAACATTTGGGGTATTTTGGGTTAAAAATTATTAAAATTAATTCCACCCAAAGGTGTGGCTCCTAGAAAATGAAAATTGCCCATGTGGCTCTAGCTGTGACTCCCACCCTTTCTGTGGGACTAGACTGCCCTGCTCTGGGGGTGGGGGTGAAGGTGGGGTGGGGGCATCAAGTGAAGTGCAGGTGGGGGGGGTGTGGGCCGTGTGGCTGTGGCTGCTTTCTTGAGAGGGACAAAGGAGGGGAGGTCACACCTCTACCTGGAGAGAGGATGAGTCCACACCTCCCCCATCCCTGTCCCGGCTCAGCCTGGGCCTCTCTGCCAGGACAGAGGGAAAGGGAGGCTGGAGCATGGCCCCCTTCTTTACTCCCCAACTCCCCACCCCCACTGGAGGCTGCATCAAAAGCGCCCCAGTGAGCAAACAGGCGGGTAGAGTGACAGCTGGGGCTTAGAGACCTGAGAGTCCTGGCTCCCCGCCCACTCCCTGGCAGTGCCCATTTCAGGAATGGGGGTGGGGAGGATGGGCCGCTCTCTGGGCCACTGAGGCCTGGACCCCACCCCATGACCCCCCCAGTCATTTCTGGGGTTTACACATGGACAGCTGGGCTCTCAGCCGCGAGTGGACAGGGTCCCGGTCCGTGAAGTGACTGGGCCTTTGCCCTCTGCCTCGGGGAAGGAGGCTGGGGCTTGATGGTATCAGTGTGGCCAGTGCCTGCGGAGGAGGTGGCAGGCAACTGGCTGGGCAGGGCAGCCCGGGCCACTGGAGGTGACGGAGAACTGGCTGGGAGGGTGTGTGGGAAGACAGGGTTGGGGTTTGGTGGGAGCGTGGGGTGGGGCAGGGCGCTCCAGACGACAGAGTGCGTTGGGAGCAGTGAACCACATTGGCACCAGCTCAGTTCAGGGCACAGGGAGGTTAGAGGTCCTGTGGAGGTAGGCAGCACAGGGCCCCACTTCAGTCCTGCTTGCTCCCTTCTTTCAGCACGACTCCTCCCACCCCAGCAACGGGGAACATTTCAAACTTTCAAACGCTTGCAAGAGAGGGCTTTCTCCACCCCTGCCTTCACACCCAACACCTTCCCAGGCCTGCTCTCCCCTCTCCCCCTGGACCCTCAACACCTGCAGGGACGTGGATCATTGAACAACCTCCATTCCCCAGCCCACGCATCCTGCTGTCTCAGAAATCCTGCACTCCAACAAAGTTTGAGGCCAGGAGAAGAGGAGGGGGGAACAGTTTTGAATCAGGCTCTTTTCTCAAAGACCCCCCCCTCATGCCCATCCAGAGTCCCAGGCCCTCGGCGGGGTGGAACGAGGTCCTTCCCTGACCCCAGTGTGAAGTTAGGGAAGGCATTTGGGGACAAGGCTCTTGACCAGTGCTCAGGATAGACAACCACCAGAGCCCCCATAGGGTGAAACCAGAGCCTGAGCACCCCCAAAGGCAGGATTCCATCCCAGGAATTTCCCTCTGGTCCTGCCCCTGTCCCCCAGCAAACCCTGGGAAGAAGCTCGGATGATCTTGAGGTGGGTGGTGAGTCAGGAGGTTTGGGGAGGCGTCTTGAGGCCATGAGCAAAAAAACACTAGCACTGTGTCAACAAAGTACAAGAGGAGAGGATTTTGGGGGAACCTGGGGGGGGCAAGACAGGGGTAGTGAGGGAGTTGGAGGCTTGTGCCAGGGTATCTGGGAGATTCTTGGGACTTTGGGGGGAATGATACAAGATTTAGGGGTTGTCAGGTTTCTGGGTGAGATTCTTAGTATTTCTGGCGCAGGGGTCCCTGGATGAGGCACAGCTCGGTTTGAAGGAAGGAATCTGCGTCCCCGAGCTCGGGAAGGTCTCCAGGTGGCTAGGGGTGCGATCTCAGGCCCTGCCCCGGGGTCGGCAGAGGGTCTGGAGTCCATGCAGAAGCGTCCCCCTTACCTGTAGACGTCGGTCCAGAGGTGCGTGCCCAGCACATACACCGCCTCGACGCGGCTCCCGTACTGCAGCCTCACGGTGCGCTCGCGCATCTTCCCAGCAGTGCGGGCCCGGCGGCGCCCTTGCCAGCCCAGGTCTGCCGGACGCACCTGCTGCAGGTGAGCCAGCCCAGCGTCCCAGCCGCAGCCCCGCGCGCCCTTATGCAGCCGCCGGCGGGCGGGGCGTGGTCAGTGGGCGGGGCAACGTGGCCTCCCCCCACTAGTGGTCTGCGGGCCCGTCCGTCAAGCGTGACCACGCCCCCAACCCCCCCGCCCCCCGAGGTAGGGGTGATGTAAGCAGCTGCATTTCCTTACCACTGTTGCTTGGTTTTTATTCATTCTTTTCAGCGAGCCAGTGGGCGCCCTGCGGTGGTGCAGCCCGGGCAAAGGACCCCTGGCCCAGCCAGCAGGGCAGGCGACGCCGGCTTGCAGCTGCGAGCCCAGAGGGAGAGGTGCCTTCGCCCGGCCTGGGGTCCCGGAGCTTCTGGAAGCCCGGGTGCCCGGCCCTTCTTGCAGGCCCTTACAGACTAAGGGGAAGGGAGGAGCTGGAGCTGCCAGAGCAAGCCGCGTGGGGGGCAGGGCAGCCTGCTCGCTGCTTTCCCAGCAGTCGGATGGGTATTACCAGAGGGAAAATGGGGGAGGGTGTGAGAGTGGGGGCCCCAGCAGCCTGCAGGACCAGGCTGGCAAACCAAGCCTGGTTTGCCACGGTGAGTTGTGGTCAGGCCTGGGGGTGCCAGGGCCATTCAGGCTGCCCGGGATGAAGGTGACCCCCACGGCAGATGGAGAGCGGCTGGGGCTGCCCGGCGGCGGGAGGAGGGGGTGCATCTGGTGAGTCTGTGCCATCTGATGAGATGCGGTGGAGGGGTGGAGGGTCGTGTTCTCCCCTGAGCCTCTGGGTGAGGGGGCTGCACCGCAGAGGTGGGCAGGAGTGGGGGGCACTTAGTGTGCTTTTCTCAGGCCAGACACTGGCCGGCTGAGCGTTTCACGTGTTTGGATTAGAGGATGATGCCTTCCCCGGAACCCCCCACACTGCTGATGAGGAAAGCGAGTCTCAGGACTGGTGAAGAATCTGCTTTGGTCTCCTTTAGGGCCAAGATAGAGACCAAGAGGGAAGGGGAGGTGCCAGGGGCAAGTGGATAGGGCAGAGACGGCATGTTGTCTCTTAAGTCGGGGTGAGGAAACCCAAGTTCCAGACCCTGCCCTGCCTTTGGGAGCCCCGGGCAGTACGTCCTGCCCACCAGGGCCTCCTGTTCCTTCTCTTGCATGAACTGATCACAACCTAGGGGTTGGCCTCTTGAGGCCATGAGCAAAAAACACTAGCACTGTGTCTGGCACAGGACAAACCCTCAAACTTTCCTTAAAACACCCAAATGCACCAGCCACCCACACGGGCGCCTGGGCTCCTGCCCCTGGTTCAGGGCCCGCAGTGTGGGGCCCCCGGGGCCTGGGCGTTGTGACGCAACCTCCGGGTGCCCAGAGGTTTAAAATAGCTGAAGTGGCCACAGCTGTTGGTGGATTCAGGGCCGGAGGTCTCACACATTAAGGCTGCTCCCACGGCTCCCCGGGGCCCGGAAGAGCCAGGGGCGTTTCACTGTGCCTTTTGGGGCCTGCCAGCAAAGGTCAGGTAGCTGGGGTCAGTTCCTGACTCCGACCTGCACCCCACACCCACAATTCCTGCTCCTGCCCAGCTGGGGGCCGGAGAGCCTGGGCTGGGAAGGGCTCCTCTGAGCTGGTTCCCTGATGATCCTTTATTGGGGTCTCTGTGCTCGGCCTTGAAAGAAACTGGGGGTGATTTAGTCATCTCAAGGCTTGCCTTGAAGAGATGGAAAGCTCACTGAGGGCATCATGTGGCAAATATTTGGAAAGAAAGAAGTAGAGTGGTAATACCTGATTGCTGTGAAAAAATAAAATCGGATCAGCATGGGCCCAGGACCAGAGATGACCGCGGCTGACATCGAGTGTGGGCTCGTGGGGCAGCTGGTGCTACTGAAGGAGATGGCGCTTGCTGAGCCCTCCGTGGTGCCAGGAGCCCGTTAAAGGATGTCTCAGCTCTTCACTCACTTAATCCTCCCAACAGCCCTGTGATGTGGGAGTTATTATTATCCTCTGCACAGAGCCCACCATGAGCCTGGCAGTAAAGAATGTGGCCTTTGGACTTGGCAAACCAGGGGTCAAGTTCAGCTCTGCCCCTCAATAGCTGAGGGACATCTCTGGGCCTTGGTGTCTTCCTTGGTATGGGAGATCCTGGTGGTCTGTCCTGGGGGGGCGACAATAGTGAGCTGATGGACAGCCCGGTGCTTGGCCAATCAGAGCGCGGCTCAGCTGGAGTCCAGTAGATGGTAATTATTACATACATGTAAAGTTTTTGGGAAAACAGGCTCCTGATTGTCCATGCTGCTTTACAGCACACTTTTGGAAACCTCGACAATGAGTCTAGAGCCTGCATTTCTAGGGCTTCCTCCTCCTTCATACTGTCCAGAACTTCTGAGTGTGCTATTCAATGCCAGGTTTGAATTAGCCAAGGAGTCTCAGAGAGACTGAGGGATGGGCAGGCGGCAAGTCCTGCAGCCAGACGGCAAACTGGAGAACACGGGACAAGGAGCGGGTAATGTTTAGTGGGCACGGCTGACTGTGTGCCAGGTTCTGCCACCACCAGGGAGTCTGAGATGGGAAAATAGGCAACCACAGTGCTGCTGTGACCATTCTTGGGCAGGGGAGGACAGGCGCAGCGGAGTCCCTGTGACCCCCACGAGGCCCTCCACATCTACCCAAGCAGGTGGCTGTTGATTAAGGTTCTCCTAGACAGAAGTCTGAAGGGTCACTGAGTTAGGGGGCCCAGAAGAGGACAACAGAGCTGCCATTTGGATTGAAGGGAGGCGATGGGGGTCTGAGGAGAGGCGTGGAGGGTGGGCTGGGGCTGGAGGAGAGCGTGCCCTGCAGAGGGAAGTACATCCCTGGGGGCCTAGTGACTTGCATCCAGCCTGGGTCTGGGGTAGGGAGCAGAGGGGAGAGCCCTGGGATTGGGGGTGGCAAGAGAGGCCTGCATGGCATGGCCGTATCACGTGGAGCCTTGTAAGTTGTGTGACAGATTTTTGACTTTTTCTTAAGGTCACAGGGGCCTCAGAAACATCTTCAATTGTGGCAATGGCACCCGGTGTACTCTAGGAAATCACTCTGGCTGCCACGTGGAGCTGGATTCTGTGGAACCAAGCTTAGCCGAGGTTTCGCCATTTTGTATATCCTCCACCTTGATATGTTAGTCCTTGTCCAGCCACTTTCCGGAGATAGTTTCAGCAGTCACAACCCTCACTCCACTTGGTGACGAAAAAACAGACCACCCCAGGCGCCAATGAGGACAGTCCTATCCATAAATGGGACAGCATCACTAACCGTCCAATCAGTTTGAAACTATAACCGTGCGCGCCAAAATGCCTTTGTAGTAGCCAGTGAGTAATTGCCAGCTTCTTTCAAAGTTCGCCACTCGTGACCCTATAAGATACCCCTGCTTCCTCTGTTCGGGGCTCTCGACCTCTGCCGTTGCATCGGTGCGTGTCGAGGGCCCGGACTCGAGCCCGTAATAAACTCCTTTGTGCCCTTGCATCGGTTGTCTGTGTCCTTGGGGGCTGCACTGGTCGACGTTGGGCACAACAGATTCCACCGTGAGAGGTCGGTGCAGGGGCCAGGAATGAGGAAGCCCACATAGAAAAAAACAAGATGGCCCTGATCCAGGACCGCTGATACCAACAAACCGAAACTGAAGCCACAAACATGAGAAAACAACTCGGCTTCACGAAGAACAACTTTGTTCGGCCTAAACCTGTTTCCCCACCCCCCAACCCGGTTTTCCTGCCTGACCTCTCCTCACCCTATGAAAGGACATCTCCCCACACAACAGGCACGACTTCACGGACCCCCACCTTGGGTCCCCGAAGCTCGCCAGGGGGCGCGAAAAATTTTCCCTTCCTTTGAGAAAGTTGAGCCTGGCTCTCCTTTTCTTTACCGCCAAACGTTTCAAACGGGAATTCTGAGGGAGGCCAGGGTTGGGAGGGGATGAGGGTCTGGACCTTTGATCCCAAAGCAGCGCTGCTGTGCCCAGGGATAGTCCACCCCTGCTCAAGAGCACCCCCAGCCCTTTCCTGGCTCTATCCCCCCCCCCCCACTCCATCCCAGCAGAGCCCACACTCTGGTATGTGTTAACTGGAAATTAAACCTCAATAGTTAGACACAGAATTTATTAGATAATCAAAACAAGGACTCAAGCCCAGGAAACAGTCTGGCAGAGTTTATTCTATAAGAATTGGCCTAACAAACACGATTGAATTCCATTATTTCATTTGTATAGGTAGGAACAGTGAGTCACTGCCATTAAAATGCAATTATTCTTGGGGGGGAGTGTGTTTCCAGTCCTAAGTTATTTTGACTTAAAGATACTTTGATGACATCCATTGTGCCGAGGAAGGCAATGCTGGGGTTTAATTGCTTCCTTTCTGAAGAATGCACTGTGGGGTGCTAAGGCTGGGAACCCAGTGTTCATCTTTTTCCAGCTCCTTGGTCATTTGTGGGGGCTGAAAAAATGGTTTTAGCTGCAGGCAGCAGATCTTGCATAACTGCTTCAAACTCATAGTTTATGCATAGGGTCTTGTCCTTCTGCCACAGTGGGGGGGAGGGTGATTTCCCAAAAATTTTACAGTGAGGTCACATCCCACTCCTAGGAAGGGGTCTCTGGCCAGTCAGTGAAGGAAGGAGGGGCACTGGGTGGGTCTTCATCCCACCTTCTCAGCCTGGGTCCTGTCAAACTTCACTGTGGGGGAGGGCAGGACTAGCCTGTTACACGTGTGAGGCTATTCAAGCTTTGTAGTTATCCAGTCTCTGTGCAGGTCCTTGAGCGTCAGAACATTGGTGAGAACAAAGAAATCCCGGCCAGTGTTGGAGGTTATTCTAGGATCTGCTTTTACTATAAGTTATTTTGCTTAAGTCACAGTTTCCAAGAACCAGTCGATGACATTAAGTGAGGACTTACCATAGGTATCAGAATGAGGGAGGAAGGGCAGTATCTTCTGCTCCTTATTCATCCTGCAAAGTCTTCCAGAATTCTGAAATTTGCGGAGCTGGCCAGTAGGC